TGATCCTTGCTGGTAGCTGATCTTAAAGCTGTAATTGTCATTTTTTTTTTTAAAATGTTGTTATGATTCCAGCTGATGTTATTACTGGAAAAGTTAAATCCCAGACTGAGATCCAGCTTGATAGATCATATTTTATTTTGCTTTGGTTTTAACCAGGTGGTATCTGACTGAAATATAATACTTCAAAGTTGGAGATTTTGTTTCAACAATAAATCTAAAATTTGTTATGCAAAAGGAATGAAAATGAAATTTAAAAACCTAATTTGTTTATGTATAATACTAATTTAAAGAGTGTAAAACCGTGTAAGTATAATTCCATTAAACCCAAAACACTCCTTTACAAATTTCAAAACAAGAGAAAATTTTTAAAAATCCCTTATACAGTACATAACAGCAAGCCGTGTTCAGTATCCATGCCAGAATCTCTTTCTCTAACACCTCAATAGGTTTGAGGTAGCAATGAATTTACCTCCTAGATTAGAATCTCTGATAGCTTATTCCTGGAGCTAACATTTTAACAAATTCAGCTTCAAATACTTTTCAGTGTTTTAGCCTAATACTTCTGTTCTAGGACTATCACTAACTCCTTATTCTAAAGTAATCTAGTTTTACCTTATTCTCCCTTTCTCAGGAATATTGCTGTATGTGTGTCAATGCAAGGACTTCACAGAATTGCTTGCAACAAATTGAAAGGAAGAATTCTGTCTCAGTTATGGGTATGTTCCTTAAGCTTAAAATAAACCTGCAGAAATTTCTACCACAAACCTTGAGTACAATTGACCACCTTACTAGGTCACAAAATCCTAAAATAAACACAAACCCATTAGGCTGCCAAAACAGCCCTGTTTCAAAAGAAATTGTAATGGCAACATAAATACTTACAAGTTAAGTGTGTCTGATCCCTTTATAAATTTCAATACAATTTGGAGGAACAGCACCTGATGAAACACCCACTGATTTTTTAATTGTTTCTAATTTATATTCTTTTATCAGTTTTTGTTTGGAACGGTCAACTGGGAATTGTGAGCTGAGGCTAACTTGTGAACTTTGTGAAACAGCTTGTGGTAAAAGGAAAAGGACAGACCAAACAAGCTTTTGTTTGTTTAGGAGGCCAGGCCTGGAGGTTAATTGCAGACTGATTCTTGATCAAAATGGTTTACAGACAAAGCAATTCAGAAATAGCATTGTGTTTAAACAGATAGAGAAGTTGGCTGTTAACAAAGTCAGTACCTGGGAATCAGTTCTGGCAAGTCTGGAAGAGACTCTATGTTCAAGCAGATTGCATACGTTGAACGGTAATTGAAGCATCAGAAAAAGATGTTCAGTCTATTGGGTGGATCCAGAGTCGGAGTTGTACATGAACTGTGTTTTCTGGAGGAGATGCTGACAACACAACAGGAAGTTGCAGGCCTAACCCCTCTCACCAACATTTGGAAGCCCAGAGAATTGAAAGCTGATTTAGAAGTGTCACTACCTTTTCTTGAGTAAACTGAGAAGGTGACCCTGGTTGGCAGTTTCAGATAAGCAACCAAGGAGTATCTATCTATGACTGTGAAACAATGCAACATGAAAGCCATGTAAGTAATCTGATCAGTTGGGCGATTTTCTTTTATTTATCCCCGAACTGCATGTGCTTGTCTGTCTGTCTTTTATACGATTAAAGTCTGAAAACAAATGTTTTGGGTTCAAAGCATTGACATTAATCAGATTACCTTGTTGTTTAATTTTTCTCTGTTAAAGTTTTTGTGTATTTAATAAGTTGTTAAGTCTTTTATTTGAGATATAAGACCAGTGTCTAGAATTAATTTATCACACTGTCTGGGATTGGATATTGGTAAGTCTCGTTAGGAACAATTAAACTAACCATTGGGGGTCTTCAATGGTTTAATTTGACTATGTTGTGAATACAGATGTAGAAAGGCTGATTTGGTTCAGCTCCTATCTTTGTGTCACAACAATCCCAACTTCACCATAAAACCCGCGCACAAGGGAGGCGCAGTTGTAGTATGGCGCACTAACCTCTACATCGCTGAGGCCAGACGCCAACTCTCCGACACCTCCTCCTACCGCCCCCTTGATCATGACCCCACCCCTGAGCACCAAACCATCATCTCCCAAACCATCCACAACCTCATCACCTCAGGTGACCTCCCATCCACGGCCTCCAACCTCATCGTTCCCCAACCCCGCACCGCCCACTTCTATCTCCTTCCCAAAATCCACAAACCTGAATGCCCTGATCGACCCATTGTCTCCGCCTGCTCCTGCCCCACCGAACTGATCTCCAACTATCTAGACTCCATTTTCTCCCCCTTGGTCCAGGAACTCTCTACCTATGTCCGTGACACCACCCACGCCCTCCACCTCCTCCAGAACTTCTAATTCCCCGGTCCCCAATACCTCATCTTTACCATGGACGTCCAGTCCCTCCACACCTGCATTCCCCATGCAGATGGCCTTAAGGCCCTCCGCTTCTTCCTGTCCCGCAGGCCCGACCAGTCCCCCTCCACTGATACCCTCATCCACTTAGCCCCTCATCCACTTAGCCGAACTCGTCCTCACACTCAACAACTTCTCTTTCAATTCCTCCCACTTCCTACAGACAAAGGGGGTAGCCATGGGTACCCGCATGGGCCCAAGCTACGCCTGCCTCTTTGTAGTTTACGTGGAACAATCCCTCTTCCGTACCTACACCGGCCCTAAACCCCACCTCTTCCTCCGTTACATTGATGACTGTATTGGCGCCACCTCGTGCTCCCACGAGGAGCTCAAACAGTCCATCCACTTCACTAACACCTTCCACCCCAACCTTAAGTTTACCTGGACCATCTCTAACACCTCTCTCCCCTTCCTGGACCTCTCTGTCTCCATATCGGGCAACCACCTAGAAACCGATATTCATTTCAAGCCCACCGACTCCCACAGCTACCTAGAATACTCCTCCTCCCACCCACCTTCCTGCAAAAATGCTATCCCCTATTCCCAATTCCTTCGCCTCCGCCGCATCTGCTCCCAGGATGAAGCATTCCACTCCCGTACATCTCAGTTGTCCTCGTTTTTCAAGGACCGTAACTTCCCCTCCTCGGTGGTCGAGAACGCCCTCAACCGTGTCTCCCACATCTCCCGCACCTCATCCCTCGCACCTCATCCCTCACACCCCGTCCACGCAATAAGAACCAAAAAAGAATCCCCCTCGTCTTCACGTACCACCCCACCAACCTCCAGATCCAACGCATCATCCTCTGACACTTCCGCCATCTGCAATCTGACCCCACCACCAAAGACATCTTTCCCTCCCCACCCTTATCTGCTTTCTGGAGGGACAACTCTCTCCGTGACTCCCTTGTCCGCTCCACACTCCCCTCCAGCTCCACCACACCCGGCACTTTTCCCTGCAACCGCAGGAAGTGCTACACCTGCCCCCATACCTCCTCCCTCACCCCTATCCCAGGCCCCAAGAAGACTTTCACCTGCACATCTGCCAATGTGGTATACTGCATCCGCTGTACCCGGTGTGGCTACCTCTACATCGGGGAAACCAAGCGGAGACTCGGGGACCGCTTTGCAGAACACCTACGCTCGGTTCACAATAAACAACTGCACCTCCCAGTCGCGAACCATTTCAACTCCCCCTCCCATTCCTCAGACGACATGTCCATCCTGGGCCTCCTGCAGTGCCACAATGATGCCACCTGAAGGTTGCAGGAACAGCAACTCATATTCCGCTTGGGAACCCTGCAGCCCAATGGTATCAATGTGGATTTCACAAGTTTCAAAATCTCCCCTCCCCCTACCGCATCCCAAAACCAGTCCAGCTCGTCCCTGCCTCCCTAACCTGTTCTTCCTCCCACCTATCCCCTCCTCCCACCTCAAGCCGCACGTCCATCTCCTACCAACCAACCTCATCCCGCCCCCTTGACCTGTCCGTCCTCCCTGGACTGACCTATCCCCTTCCTAACTCCCTACCTACACTCACCTTTACTGGTTCCATCCACGCCTCTTCAACCTGTTTGTTTCCTCTCCACCTATCCTCTCCTCTATCCCTCTTCTATCCGCCTCCCACTCTCTCCCTATTTATTTCGGAACCCCCTTCCCCTCCCCCTTTTCTGATGAAGGGTCTAGACCCGAAACGTCAGCCTCTCTGCTCCTATGATGCTGCTTGGCCTGCTGTGTTCATCCAGCCCTGCACCTTGTTGTCTCGGATTCTCTAGCATCTGCAGTTCCTACTATCTCTCACTCCTCATCTTGTGACCTGTAGAAACCTGGACTTGACATTATTCTCAATAATTTTAGACTATAACTGCTGTAACATTCCATTTGCCAGAATTCTGATTTTGGTTATAAAACTGGTTTAGACCTCCTGTAATCAATCTGGATTTTTTCACATCCTATTACCATACCCCTTTGCCTTTCAGGATTCTTCTCTTTGTTATTAAATCACTCCTGCCCCCAAATCCTATTACAGAAATTCCCTTTCATTCTGTCCTCACATCTCCCTTTTACTGCCTGTGTTCCTTCTGCTTCCAAACCTGTTCCATCCTTAATCGTTCTCGGATTAGTTACAGTTGAAACTCAACAACCTGGATTAATGAGGGGGTGGTGGGGAGCTGCAGTGGAGATCAGCCACTGTTACCGTTCCAGGGAGTGAGGCAGACAGAGAATGGGAACAAACCCAATGACGATGTCTCCTACCACAGTCAAACAGTTTGAAGGAAGAACTTTGAACACGAACCTTGAGATACAATTGTCCAACTTACTAGGTTGCAAAACTCTAAAACAAATAAAATCCTATTGGAGTAAATTAAGGACAGGATCAGAGAGTGTAAGGCGTCCATCAAAACAAATCCCCATAGACAGGCAGCATCAGCAAAAGTAGAGAGGAGATGGAGAGGTTCCAAATGAGAAAAAGGAAGAGAAAACAGTGACTGGCAAATTTCTTCCAAAACATTATGTGGATCTTCAACTAGATTTTGTTAATGAGACTTTTTCTTTTCCCACAGCATGTATCTGCTTAATAAATGCAGTGATACTTGGAGCAGTAAGGTCTGTGGTGGGTTATGTCTTCACCAGTGACAAGTCAGTAAAAACAAATTTTCAAACATAAAAATTCATCAACACATATTTACCAAATGGTATGAAAGCTCTTTAACATCCCTCTTTTCATTTTCCAGAGAAATTGTTCAGCTGGCTGCGGAAGTAGTTCCACTATCTGCTGTGTTTCATCTCTTTGATTCTGTATCGGTGAGTGTTCCAGGATCTGTATAGTATAACCAGAGAGGGGAGTGGTATGACCTGATGGGTTTTTTTTCAGATTATTAAAATATAAAACAGGGTATGTGTATGGAAGATTGTCCTTATGGGCTGGGCCAAAATTCAGAGCCACAAATAGAAGACAGTCACCAATAACTCCAATAGGGAATTCAGGAGAATCCTCTTTAGCCGGAGGGTTGGTTTCAATGTGGAACTTACTAGCACATGCTGCTGTTGTGTTGAATTATTTCCCCTTAATTTAAGGGGAAAATAAGAAAAATTGGGGAGTAAACTCTCTGCCGGTTGGAGTCATACCTCTCATAAAGAAAGCACAAATACTTCTCTCCTATAGAAACCATAGCACTTGTGTAAGTGTGTAATCTCTATAACCATGTTGTCTTTGTCTATTTTGCAGGGTGTGTGTGGTGGAGTGTTAAGGGGAGCTGGGAAGCAAAAATTGGGAGCGATCGGCAACCTGGTCGGATACTACCTAATTGGATTTCCCATTGGAATTACCCTGATGTTTGCTGTAAAACTTGGTGTATTTGGTATGAATTTCATTAGTTTATCCTTTTGACCTTTACTAGAAATGATCACATTGCACCCACTCTTAGTAGAGTACTGAGGATATCAGTCCATTTTGGGATGACTAGAAGGAGATTGACATTGGGTGGATGTTTCCCCTTTGGGGTGTAGCCAGCCTTGTATGGTTTTTGGGGCCAAAGTCAATCAATACTCCCTGTGTCCCAGTAGATACAATACTGCACTCCCATGGTCATTTCCATCTGTGACCATAGACATTGGAATATTGGCCAGAGGTGAGCATCAAGCGGGGCTGACACAAGTGTCTGGCCAAAGTCCACACATGGAAAATTCCAATGTGGTAGATAGTGATTAGGCGTGGGATCCATGGCTGAATTCTTCTTGGGGCAAATCCCATAGTGCTGAGGCTAAAGGTGGTCAAATCATGGAAATATAGAAGATAGGAGCAGGGGGAGGCCATTCAGCCCTTCGAGCTTATTCTGCCATTCTTCATGATCGTGGCTGATTGTCCAACTCAATAGCTTGATCCCATTCGCCCCCAAGTGCTATATCTAGCTGCCTCTTGAATACATTCAATGTTTTGGCATCAACTGCTTCCTGTGGTAATGAATTCCACAGGCTCACTATTCTCACCGATAAAGGTGAAGGGTTTCATAAAGGAATGTAAGGGGAAGCAACACTTGTGTTGTCCCTATACTCTTACTGCATCTTTGTTATTTTGCAGGTCTCTGGTGTGGAATGCTCATTTGCGTGCTTGTACAGTTAGTTTTCTTTCTGACAGTGATTTACAGAATCAACTGGAATAAAGCATCTGATGAGGTAAGACGATAGAGATTATTTACTGCATCAATTGGTTTCTGTAGGATTGCTTTTCTTCCCACCCCTTTGTCTCTTCGCATTGTGTTTTGCAGCCAGTTGACTAAACACATGCATCTTCCATACAACTCTGGCTGTCATTCTTCATCTGGCCAACAGGGGGCTACTATCCCTCCAAATGGAAAAGAGTCATAGAGTCATAGATAGATACAGCACAGAAACAGACCCTTTGGTCCAACTTGTCTATGCTGACCAGATATCCTAAATTAATACAGTCCCATTTTTCAGCATTTGGCCCATATCCCTCTAAACCCTCCCTATTCATGTACCCATCCAGATGCCTTTTAAATGTTGTAATTGTACCAGCCTCCACCACTTCCTCTGGCAGTTCATTCCATACACACACCACCCTCTGTGTGAAAAAGTTGCCCCTAAGGTCCCTTTTAAATCTTTCCCCTCTCACCTTAAACCTATGCCGTTTGGTTTTGGACTCCCTCAACCTGGGGAAAAGACCTTGTCTATTTTCCATGCCACTCATGATTTTACAAGCCACTACAATGTCACCTCTCAGCCTCTGATGCTCCAGGAAAATAGCCCCAACCTATTCAGCCTCTCCCTACAGCTCAAACCCTCCAAACCCAGCAACACCCTTGTAAATCTTATCTGAACCCTTTCTAGCTTCACAGCATCTTTTCTATCGTGGTGCGACTAGAATTGAATGCAATGTTACAAAAGTGGCTTAACCAATGTCCTGTAATCTTACCAGCCTCCACCACTTCCTCTGGTAGCTCATTCCATACACGCACCATCCTCTGTGTGAAAAAGTTGCCTATGATGTCCCTTTTATATCTTTCCCCCACCTTAAACCTATGACGTCTAGTTTTGGACTCCCCCACCCCAGGGAAAAGACTTTGCCCAGGTACTCTATCCATGCCCCTCATGATTTTATAAATCCCTACAAGGTCAAGTGTAAACTTTTTTTTACTGATTATACCATGTACAGAATAAAATAGCCATACAAACTGGAATAACTCCACAGAGGCCGGTATCCTGTCACCAAGTCACCCTTTATTTACACGCGGAGAGTCCTTGACACTGACCCAGCTCCCTCAGAGCCAGCTGTCAGAGTGAACAGAACCCCTGACAGAGATAGTGGGAACTGCAGATGCTGGAGAATCCGAGACAACAAGGTGCAGGGCTGGATGAACACAGCAGGCCAAGCAGCATCATAGGAGCAGAGAGGCTTAACAAGGTGCAGGGCTGGATGAACACAGCAGGCTCCTATGATGCTGCTTGGCCTGCTGTGTTCATCCAGCCCTGCACCTTGTTGTCTCGAACCCCTGACACGCATGTTTATATCCGTCAGCCAGGGCTCCCTGATTGGACCAAGTTAACAGCCCCCATCAGGGAACTCATATTCTATGAGATCCTACTGGATGACTTCCTTATAATCGGTACAGAACTCTGCTTAACAGTCAGATGTATCTACAGACTGTAAATTGCTTTCACAAATTTGATTTACTTTGTTCACACATGGAACATGCACTGGCAGGCCAGTATTTATTGCCTGTCCCTAGCTGCCTTTGAACTGAGTGGCTTGTCAGGCCATTTCTGAGGGCTGGTGCTATGTGGCTGGAGTCACATGTTGGCCAGACAGGATGGCAGATTTCCTTACCTGAAGGACATTACTGAACCAGATGGGTTTTTTCCCCAAAATTGTCAACAGCTTTCATGATCATCAACAGCTTCTTAATTCCAGTTATTTTTTTACACTGAATTCAAATTCTGCCATGCTGGGATTTGAACTCAGCTCCCCAGAATATTAGTTTGGTTTCCGGCTAATAAATAAACAATAATACCACTGGGCCATCATCTCCCCTTGAGCTCTTTTACCAGCATCATTCGTCACTGGTTTCAAAACCCTGAAAAATATAAATAAGTGTAACTGGGTTTATAACAAAGTACAAGATTCAGGTTTACTGCTAATAATCATTACTAACCTTGAAAAGTGAACTTAAATCTTTTTGGAGTGTCAAAAGTCTCCAAAATATTAAGCAAATTTCACATTTTTTAAATTGTTTTCTTCTTCTAAAAGTCAGTTTGTCTTTATCTTATCATCAAATATTTGAACATATATTTCCCTGTCTGAATTTGAACAATTTGATGTGTTTTAAGTTTCTGATTCACTGAGTGTCAATTCATCAGTTTGATGTGTTGTCTACCAACTTGCTGCACGCCAAAACATAGTCTTGGAGAATTTCCTGCTGCAGTGATTACCAGATTCCTCAGTTGATAGATTTCCTTAGGCAGAGCTCTTCGAGGTTAGTGGTAAGTATCCTTGCTTTGCTGCTGAGCACTAAACTCCAGGCCAATAGGTCTCCAGGCTCTCTCCTGATGCAACTCTTGAAATGCCAGGTCTCTGGAGTAGATTAAGTATACAATTAGTGATCAGTTAATTCCCAGTAATTAGCAGATATACCCATCCTTCACTCATCATGATAATTGTGTGCTTTGTTAAAAGGCTCTGGTTAATGCAGGTGTGGTGAAAGACATGGACACCGCAAACAGTGCCTCTGGTGGTCAAATGCAGGATATCTCAACAGGTAAAAAGGAATGTTGTGCTGACTTTAAACCACCTTGCTAATTAACGAAAACGAGTACGTGGTAAACTTTCATAGTATATATTCATCAAGTTAATCAAAGCGACAATTTATCACAGAATTGGTACATGCAGGAAGTCATTCAGCCCATTGTGTCTGTGCTAGCTCCCCAATGAGCATTATTATATAGTGCCATTCTCCTGCTATTTCCCTGTTCCCTTGTGCATTGTTTCTGTTCAAATAATCAGTCAAAGCTCTCTTCAGTGCTTCATTTGAAATTGCTGCCACCACACTTCCAGGCAATGCATTGCATATTTGTGTGCAATCGTCTTTTTGTCTCATTTGCTACATTTGCAAATCACTTTAAATCAGTGCTCTCTCATTCTCAGTCCTTTCACAAGCAGGAACAATTTCTCTCTACCTGCTCTATCCAGATCTCTCATCTCTCACCAAAGCTTCTTTCTGATCTCCTTTCAGCTTTCTTCATTCCGAGAACAGTCAAATCTATCCTCATAACTGAAGTGGCTCATCCCTGGGGGACAATTCTAACTCGTCTATCAAACTGAATGGTGTTGAAGAAATTCCCACTGCCAAAGATGCTGTAATTCATCACCTTGTTCTGAAACCTACCCCTAATGGAAATCAGTGAGGAGAAGAATAACTTTAAAACCACACGACTAAAGTTATGTAGTACCCAGGAAACTAAATGTACAATCAGTATACAAGAAACTGAAAGGCCATTGAAGGAACTGCTGCATGTTAATTTATTTAATTAGATTTTAACTTGGTGCAATTGATTCATTTGATTCCAAGGAGCAGATACATTTCCACCTGTTTAAAAACTGTTTGAATTCCTACTTACTCTTGAGAGGAGGTATTGGCCTCAAAACAGCATCATTCAACTATTAATCCCATGATCCAGCTAATGTTCAAGTGACCAGAATCCAGCCATGGTAGATGGTGGAGTTTGAATTCAGTAAATGTCTGGAATTAAGAATCTAATGACAACCATTAAGCCATTATTGAAAAATCCACCTGGTTTACTAATGTCCTTCAGGGAAGGGAACTGCAGTCCTTATCTGGTCTGGCCTACATGTTCCTCCAGACTCACCACAACATGGTTTACTCTTGCACACATCTCTAAGGAATTAGGGGTAAGCAATAAATGCTGGTCTAGCCAGCGATGTCTGCATCCTCTGAATGATTAAAAACAATTCAGTCATTGTATTGATTACAACGCTCGGCAATCTAACTTACTATCAGCCATTTGCTGAAACTGACCTGTGATGTTTGATGGTTAATGATTCGTTGCTGAACTTTTGCCAATTTCTGGTCAGCTTGTTGACTGAGTGATTTCATGATAATGGCTCTAACAATACCCAGTATTTGTCCAACTCAATGGTGGCACAGTGGCTCAGTGGTCAGCACTACTACCTCACAATGCTAGGGACCTGAGTTCAATCCCAGCCTTAGGTGACTGTCTGTGTGGAGTTTGCACATTCTCCCCTTGTCTGTATCGGTTTCCTCCCACAGTCTAAAGATGTACAGGTTAGGTGGATCAACTATGATAAATTGTCCTCTAGTGTCCAGGGATATGGTAGAATGCTATTTGGAGGGTCAGTGCAGACTCGATGGGCTGAATGGCCTTTTTCTGTACTGTTGGGATTCCATGAACTCTTGTGGAGGGTTCTCAACTGTAAATAGAAAGTGAAACGGATTATAAAAAGGTGGAAATGTATTTGCTGCTTAAAAACAAAATGAATCTAATTAATATGTAACAATCCCTTAAATAGATAGGGGCAGTGCGTAAATATATCTGTGCAAGTTGGTCTACTATTTGGTGTTGAGTTGTGACAGTTCCTTAAACCCAGGAGGACTGTACAACAAACCTTTTATAGACAATGAATATGGATCATCTGTGTTGAATCAATCCAAACCTGAGTCTAGCAGTTATATTGGCCACTGTATTTCAGATGGGATTGGTCTCCTATATGTAGATCACATGGGTGACTGGGACTCATAGGAGACCATTGGTTGATCATGAGCCCACGTCAAAACAATCAGATCCACTGGTGTCACCATGTACTCAAAACTTTTCAATGTGACTTTCTTTTACAGAAGTAGACACAGGGAACTGTGCAATGAATCCGATTCCCAGTGTTTGTCAATCGGAACTACAGACAGAGGAGGACCAGGTGATGGATACGTCTTCCATTGTGGACACTGGAGTTACCACAGTCGGAGAAATCCTGTCCACAAAACAACTGATCATTCGCCGTGGCCTAGCCTTCCTCTCAGGACCCCTGATCCTGGCCATTGGACTGATGATACACTTCATTCTCGCAAAAGGCTTGTAGGCTCGCAAGGAAAAGACAGAGCACTGTTACTCACTAAATAAAAACTGAAAGAACTGCGGATACTGTAAATCAGGAACAAAAACAGAAGTTGCTGGAAAATCTCAGCAGGTCTGGCAGCATCTGTGAAGAAAAACTCAGAGTTATTGCTTCGGGTCAACTTCTGAGGAAGGGTCACCGGACCCGAAAAGTTAACGCTGATTTTTTTTCTTCACAGTTACTCCCTGCAGCATGAATAGTGACAGTTTGACCAAAGGGCAACAGAGGCCAAAGTTCATATAAAACCTGTTCTTATTGATGAAATCCAAGCTAATACCAGATAAACAATTAAAAAAGAATTATTAACAACAACCAGTTATGAACCAATTTCCAAATATTTTAAAAACCGTTGAAATTGTCATTGGGCAGTGTTCGGGTTTAAAGTCTAAAAAGCATTTCCAAAGCAATAGTTGAACCAGTCAACCAGGCTCAATGATTAGCTGCCACCATTGGTCAGTGTGGATGCCTGAGAGTAGACAGTAACAGCCTGATTTAGTCTCACCACTTATCTCGGCCTCCTTCATCACTCACCTTTGAAATATTTATCATTTGGATGAAGCCTCCAGGTTTGGTGCAGTTATATACAGTCAGTTGTAAGGTAGGTGTAGTGATTGTATCGAGGTCAGCCAGGTAAAAATCATAGAATAGGAGTTCCCTGATTGGGGCTGTTAATCTGGTTCAATCAGGGAGCCCTGGCTGACAGATATAAACAGGCGTGTCAGAGGTTCTGCTCACTCTGGGAGCTCCCTCTGAGGAAGCCGAGCCAGTGTCAAGTACTATGCCCATGTAAATAAAGGGTGACTTGGTGTTGGGATATCGGCCTCTAAGCAGTTAGTTCAGAGGTGGCGATGGATGCCTTCAGCACTGAACCAGACTCCATGAAGTTTATTGTCAAAGGCAAACAAGGAAACGGTCTGCTGATTATCACCTCATCTAACCTCAGATGATGGATCAAAATTACTGCATAGGGAACACCAATGGCAGCAAACAAGGTTGGGTAGAAGGGGTGCATAATCTATTTTGGTTAGAAGGCTCCTATGTACATTACTAAGAGTGGCTTGGTAGCACAACTACTGATCAGATTAGCTATGTCCTGAATTACACAGCTGGCAGAATGGGCCTGTGTTATGTGATGACAGAACTAACACAAGGTAATAACGTAGTTGACTTCATCCTCATCAATTTACCTTTTGCAGACATAACAATGACATTTTCATTTGGAGCAACAACTGCACAGTCTCGTAAGACCATAAAGCAGTAAAGAATTCCAAATATTCATACCCCCGAGAAAAGAAATTCCACTTCGTCTCTGTCTTACTCTGAGATTGTGCCCTCTGGGTCCTAGACTCTCCCATAACAGGAAAGAACCTTCACCCATCTACCCTGTCAAGTCCCCTTAGAATCTTGTCTTTCAATAAAGCCTTCTTTCATTCTTCAAGAATACAAACTCCAAGAATACAGGCCTAACCTACTCAACCTCTCCTCATAAGAAAGGGAGGGAGGCAATGGCCTCGTGTTATTATTGCTAGACTATTAATCCAGTAACTGAGCTAATGTTCTGGGGTAACAAGGTGTAGAGCTGGATGAACACAGCAGGCCAAGCAGCGTCAAAGGAGCAGGAAAGCTGACGTTTCGGGTCTGGACCCTTCAGAAATGTTCTGGGGACCTGGTTTCAAATCCCACCATGGCAGATAGTAAAATTTGAATTCAGTAAAGAATCTGGAAGTAAGAGTCGAATGATGACCATGAATCCATTGTCAATTGTTGGAAAAATCTATCTGGCTCATAAATTTCCTATAGGGAAACAAAGAGCTGTTCCTACCTGGGCTAGCCTACTTGTGACTGCAGACCCACAGCAATGTGGTTGACTCTTAACTGCCCTCTGGGCAATTAGGGATGGACAATAAATGCTGGCCCAGCCAGAGATGCCCACATGCCATGAGTTAATAAATAAAAATAATCCCTTCATACCTGATATTAGCTTAGTGGACCTTCTCTAGACTAGCTTTTATGATTCATTGATGAGGATTCAAAAATCCCCCTGTTCTGTGGCTTTCTGCAGTCTTTGACCATTTAAATAATATTGAGCTCCTCTATTCTTCCTGCCAAAGTGCATAACCTTCAGAGGTCAGGGCGTGTCTTGACACTCTCCACCATGACTGTGTGGCATTGCACTGTTGTATAAATGCAACTCTTCCTTCTCATTGCTAAAATGTAAAGTTTGGAGAGCAGGAATATTGCTGATGAATATATTCAGTCACTGAAGAGCAGCAGGCAACAAATTGGATAGAATGCTGAACTGGAGAGTGAAATGTACGTCAGAAGTTGCCATGCTAAAACCACCCAGGGTTCTGGTCTGGCACCAGTCAGACAGGCATCTGGTTCATCAAACACAAAGAAACCTTAAAGGGCTGGTGGTGAGGCAGAGGTGAAAGTAAGATTTTCATTCAATACAGCACCTTTCATGTCCTATGGAAGCCCTGAAAAGCTCTAAAGGCTACCTTGAGGGGTAGTCATCATTATACTGTAGGAAACATGGGAGCCAGTTTGCACACTACTCCCACAAACAATGTTTGAAGGATAAATATCAGCCTGGACGCCAAGGAGATCTCACCAGATCCTCATTGAATTAGTGCGAAGGAAACTTTACATTCGGCACGTTGGCTCAGTGGTTAGCACTGCTGCCTCACAGCATCAGGGACCCGGGTTTGATTCCACCCTCGGGCGACTATCTGTGTGGAGTTTGCATGTTCTCCCCGTGTCTGCATGAGTTTCCTCTGGGTGCTCCGGTTTCCTCCCTCAGCCCAAAGATGTGCAGGCTGTGTGGATTGGCCATGCTAAATTGCCCGTTGTGTTCAGTGATGTGTAGATTAGGTGGGTTATAGGGGAATGGGTCTGGGTGGAATGCTCTGAGGGTCGATGTGGACTTGTTGGGCCGAAGGGCCTGTTTCCACATTGTAGGGATGTTATGAAAAAAAAATTGTAGAACTTTAGTTTAATGTCTAAGTATAAGCAACTCTCACACTGAAGCATTCCTTCAGTGCTGTGCTAGGGTGTCAACTAAATTGTGTGCTCAGATATTAGAACTAGGAGTCAACTGAAAGCATTATGCGCTGGCCTGCTTCTGCACTGTAGGGATGATTTTAATGTTTTAGAGAAGGCAGCTAAATGATGTCAACCTCAGAGGAGAACAGTAGAGCAAATGACACAGAGAAAGAAGGACTAAACAGTAAATCCTGTGAATGATGCATACTGTCTTGCCTACCTCAAAATGGAGCTCCTCATCTATCGTCTATTCCTTTACAATTATGACTCTTTTGTTTACTGGGTTAATCAGGAACATAGTTGAACTTTAAATATGACAGTTAAGGAAAGGCACATACCATTTACCCAGATAATCATATTAAAATAGTTAGGTGGTTATTCATGGCACAGATTCAATGGATCAAGGGGTCTTTTTCTATGCTGTAAACCTCTACGACTCTATTTAAGATTGAAGTCGGAGAGCTATTTCACACTCTGAATAAATAAGATGGCGTTATGTATTCACTGATTTACTGCATGTTTTATTTACCAGATTTATCTCAGAGGACACTCCAGTTGTAAATCCATAGCATTTTTCATTAAAGTAACTTGAAACCTACACACATCATCATCTAGTTCTACACACATCATCTCTAACAGAGCCCAGGTCAACTTCTGGTACATGCTCCCTGTGATATCAATTCCTCCAGCTCTCTGTGTCTGTCTACAGGCTTAAGCAATCAAGTACAGCCATCTTGATCAGTTAACAGCCAACATAATCAAATACAGATTAGGTGAAACCATTGAAGACTTCAGCAAAAAAATACGTATGTACTCAAGCAATAGTTTGGGTGACTGTCGGCTCTTTCTGATGGAAAGTTAGGATCATTCAAATCCCCTCCCTGATATACTATCACATAGTAGGTACAAAATAAGAGACCCCCATGGTGTTGTGTATGGTGTAATAGCATGGATAGAGGAATGGTTCACTGATAGAAGACAGACAGTTGGGATAAGGGGGCATTTTCAGGATGGCAGCCAGTAACTAGTGAGTGCCACAGAGAACAGTGCTAGAGCCACAATTATTTACAATATATATGAATGATTTGGAAAAGGAAAGGGAATGTACACTCGCCAAGTTTGTGGATGACACACAAATAGGTGGGAAGGCTAGTGGTGAGGATGACCCAAAGAGATCCCAGAGGGACATGGACAAGTTCAGTGAGTGGGCAAAGACTTGGCGGATAGAATGTAATGTAAAAATGTGAGGTTAAGCACTTTGACAAAAAGAATAGCGGAAACTGCATACTTTTTTAAATGGAGAAAGACTGCAGAAAGCTACAGAACAGAGGGATTTGGGAGTCCTCATGCAAAATCATAAAAATCTAGCATACATACAGTAATAGGAAGGCAAATTGAATGATGGTCTTTATTTCAAAAGGAATGGAGTGTAAAAGTTAGGGAACATACAAGGAAATAGTCAGACCGCAACTAGCATAACTATGAGATAGTAAGAACTGCCGATGCTGGAGAATCTGAGA